AAAGCCGCGCGCGAAGATGCCGCCCCCTTGAAAGTACACAAAGGGACCGTGGTCGATTTGTTTAAACGACTGCCCATCGACGTCACGACTGAAAAATCCAAATGGGAAGTCTACTCGCAAGCCACGGCTGCCGTGGACCCCTTGGAAATCACGGTGGACCGAACCCGTACCTGGATCGACATGACCAAGATCCTGCTGGAATTCGACGTGGAATTTCATAACGGCGGCGCCGGTGCCAATAATGCACTCCTGACCAATACTTCGTCGGCCGTTCCCATCAACAACATAGCCCACTCCCTCATCAAACAAATCCAACTGACTATTAACAAAGGAGCCGTGACCGTCAATGCCGATCACTACCATCTGGAAGCTTACTTCGACCGACTGCTAAACTACTCTGAAGAAGAAAAGAAATCCTTGCTGTCTCTGGAAGGATGGGCCACCGATACGCCCGACAAGTTTGATCAGCTCAATCCCAACGACTTGGCCATCGCGAATCCCGCTGCGTGGGCCGGTAATGCACCCACGGTCGCTGAAGTAGGAGACGCCATTCGTGCCGCTGCCACTCGCGTCACGCCCAACCAAGGAGCCAAGGAACGTGTTGGATTGTGTTGTCAAGACCGAGCCGTCAAGTTCATCCTCAGACCCGTCATTCCTCTCTTCTCCAGCCAGCGCTACTTGACTCCCGGTTGTGAATTGAAATTCCGAATCCAATGGAATCCTCGAGAATTGGTCATGATGAATGGTCCCACCGTGGGGGTTACGACCATTACCCAACCCAACGCTTCCTACAGAATAGTCAACTATTCTCCCAAGTTGCACATTCGTCACGTGGACGTCAACAGCGAATTGCACATCAAGATGGAAGCTGCCATGCTGGAAAACCAAGACATTGCCCTCTACCCTTACTTCACCAACAGAACCGTTACCCACACCGTTCCCAATGGTCGACGACGGGCTCAGATGCACAACGTGTTTCARGGGTACCGACCCAACTACATGATCATTGGATTTCAGCGAGGAGACGCTTTCGACGGGGATATAGCTCATTCTCCTTTCAACTTTCAAGACATGCATCAATCGTCCCTTCGTGTGACCGTCGACGGTGAAGAAATTCCCCATCAGCGATTGGACCTGACCTCGCATCATAAAGAAGAAGGCTTCAATACCCTCCT